GGTAGGCTTTCATAAAGTCCCAAACTAAAGAGCTGTAAACATTTGGGGAGATGTTTGTTTCTAAAAAGAAAAGAAAAAAGAATAAGTTAATTGGTTGTTCATAAATTCCAGAAAGGTATCATCTGACAGCAATGTTGAATTAAAATGCCAACTCCATTCTGATAAGTTGAGTAAGGCAGGTGTAGACAGGGTCAACATTAAGGGGGCGTGATCTGATATTACTATGGCAAAGTATTCGCAGGCACTCATAAAACTAGTTAAATAATTATCCAAGAAAAAATATAATCCTAAAATTAGAAAAGGTGTGATGCACATTAGAGAACAAGGAATACTCACTATCAGTCACATCAAGATTTTGCCATATATCCTTAACAACGTATGTAGAGAAGAAATAGTGAATGTGCAAGGCTGATTTACTCAGACAGGTCAGTTTTAACGAGGCTCAGTCCAAAACAGGGTCTAACCAGCAACTGAGGTCCCTGAGTATCAAAGAGGTGTTCGAAAAACTTGTGATCATCAATGTTAGGAGCGTATACATTAACTAAAACTATCTGTATGTTATATAATCTCACTGAAACAATAACAAAACAACCTACCGATCTGAAACCTTGTTGCTGATGAGAATGGATACTCCTCTAGCCTTGGCCTCAAAACATGAATGGAACTACCAAGCTGTAAATTACCTGAACCTCTGACATGAGTTTCATGTTAAAAGGCAACGGAAGCATTTTCTTGCTTTATTTGTGCAAAATAATGATTGATTTGAATGATTTAATCCCTTAACATTCCAGCTGGGCAAATCTAAGGCACTGATCATACACGATGGTAATCTTGTATAAAGATTAAAATAAAGAAGGAATGCAAAAACAGAGTTTGTCATACAAGTGAAAAGAGGAATGAAAGAAGCCCAGTACAGAACATAGGATAACACCCTATGTGGATATGAGTTCTGTGGTGGAAAAAAGGCTTTCCAACAACACAAACCCCCTGATCCCTCCTGCCTCACCCCAACCACTGGACACCTACTGAAGAACGCAGCAGCAGCTCACCCATACAACATTTGTTCCTCCAAGAAAAGAAACAACTTCCAGGTCAAAACTACTAACTCGGCTCTCACCCCGATCTGAAGTATGCACTGAAGCATTACTCAAAGATGTGGAGAAACCTTGCAAAGAAAAGTGACCAACAGCGCACTCTATTGGCATAAGCAGCTCAGTAAAGAAGAATGCATGAAAAATAAATAAATAAACAATTAATTAATTAATTAATTAATTAATTACAAAAATGTCTAAAAACAAATAAAATAACATAAGAAATAGTAATAAAAATTAATAAATGAATAACTAAGTATAAATGATCTACATGCCGGTAGTTGAGAACTCCCCTTCAGCACGCCTCCCTGATGATGAGCTCTTTCGTCTGAAACCTGTGACGGCAGAGAATCACTGGTCATGGTCGGGCCGCCGCTTTCGGAAGAAGCTACAAAACTTTAAGGCTGACACTAGATTCTAGATCGCTGGATACTAGCTTCAAAGATTGGACAAATAAAGGATTACTTTATGTATGGTAATGGAGGAAGGTAGATTACTTAGTTTTGAAAAGATTAAAGAAAAATATTCATTAGAAACAGGATTTTCATAGATACCTACAGATGAGGCATTTTGTCAGCAAAAAGATAAAATCTAAGGCTGAATTAAGCAAACAGCTGTTGGACTTATTTGAAAGGATCTCTATCTTTATTTGTATAATGGGTTATAAAACATGAAATCACACTCGACCCTATCAAAACAAAATGGGAAATGGAGGGAGGAATAGATATAATGGAGGAAGAGTGGACAACAATATGCACATATCAATGGAAATGTAGCCGCTCAGAGAGCTGGAGGGAATTTGGTTGGAAAAGCCTGATAAAATATTTTATTACACCTCACCAAAAATCTCACTATGAAGGTAACCCTCCTGTTTGCTGGAGAAAATGTGGAAACACAAATGCAAATCATTATCATATTTCTGGGACTGTCATGTTATTAAAACGTATTGGAAGGGAATACATGCAACAAGAGATATTTGGACGTTATTTACATTTAGAAAGTAAAACTTTATTTTTTGGACTCATGCCAGAAAGATGGACAAAGAACGATAAATATTTGTTTAATATTTTACTGGTGGCAGGCAAAAAAGCCCTCACAAAAACTGACGTTCATGTGAGAGCCCAACTATGAACATGTGGATGGATGTCACACTGGACAGGATGGAGAAAATGACAGCGGGTGTGAACTACGAGACGGACCTGTGTGTATCACACTGGAAGAAATGGATGGAATAACACGGAGGCCAGATTCTGACTTTGTTAACATTAGATAGTATATTATTTATATTACTGGTAATTAAATCTCACTCCCTAAGTGTTTATGTTTTTTTCTTATTATTTTCTTCTTTTTTTCTGCTTTTGTGTGGATGTTTTTGTTGTTGAAAAAAAACACATGTAGATGGATATCTAATTATTGAAGCTGATGCACATGATACTGTACAGTGATTCCTAAATGTCAATAACAATTATATTTTTTAAAAAGAAAAAAGCCTGACACTTCTGCATCAAAACAGGGCCATACATTCTGGTGTTAGGAAATGGATGCACTCTTCATGCTGCAGTTTAGCAGCAGAAATCAGTCAAGCAGTCATTAACTCCAGCGGTCATCACATCCCTTGGTCCCTTAATGAATCAAACTCTTGTATTGTTACCTTAGAGAACCACTGCTAGCTGGCTTTGTTGTTCCCAATTATTACAAGAAAGATTCAAGATTCAAGAGCTTTATTGTCAATACAGCAGTATACACAGTATAGAGTGTACCGAAATGCTGTTTCACCCCAAACCCCCCCATGGTGCATTTATAAGTATATAAAAGATATACTAGGAATTACAAATAAATAACATGCTAAATTTCAGTAAAATTAAGGGATAAAAAGTATTACTAACTATACAATACTATAATGATAACTATACAATGCTAACAGTACAATAAACAAAGACAGGACAGAGACAATACAAAGTGGATGTGTTAACCCAACTGTTATAACATCAGCCATAGTCATAGTCCATTAGCCATATTCCAAAATCAGTACGCGAAACAAAGTAAACAGTCAAAACTACATACAAAGAACAGCGCGTGCAAACAGGAAGTAAAGGTTTTGCGTTATGCTTCGTTGTTCTTTTATATCGTGTACCTGCGACCGATTTCGAAGAGTAATGGGCAAACTTAATGTCTGATCCATTAATGCTCATCAGGACTTTTGCTGACCATATACCCATAGCTGTGCCTGACTAACCCTTTATTATTCCGCTTTTTTAATGGGGACGTGGATCAACTGGGTAATGAGATATTATAATATATAATATTAACACACCGGTTTAGCTCAGTGGGATGAGCAGGTGACCATATGCCGTATGACTGAGAGCAGCCGGCCACGGCCCTTTGCCGCATGTCTTCCTCTCCTCCATTTTCCTGTCAAGTCTTCGCTGTACCTATCTAATAAAAACTGAAAAAAGGCAAGAAAATTAAAATACAAATATAAAAGGACGCAAATACATGCCATGGTGTACAAAAGTGACAGAGTACAGTGAGGTGTGGGAGTGAAGGTGGACTGTACGTGGATAAATGAAAGAGTCTGATAGCAGCAGGAAGAAACGACCTTCTGTAACATTCCCTCTGACAGCAAGGTTCAAGGATTCCGATTGTCCAGTGTGTTACGGAGGGGTGGGAGTCAGCCTTGATTGCTAGTAGTCTTACCAGCATTCTGTCACCGACCACCTCCTCCAAGGTGGCGAGCTTTGTGCCAGCAATTGACTCAGCCTTTCTGGCATGAAGCTCAAACATATGGACTGTTTGTCAAACTAGACCATTTAATACTTGGACTGTGGATGCTCTAAACTGTGTCAAAAAAAAACCAAAACGCTGTCAGCACTGCAATACCAACAAGGAGCCAAAACACTCGACAAACCAACATAAAGATTTTTTTTGTCAAAGTTTCCTGCAGAACATGTCATCTTTTCCAAACACAGCATCTCTGCATTGGTATATCATTATATGAGCGTGTAGACTGATTCCGCACACATGCCCATACCACCAGTCTACCTGAACTACAATTCAAAAGACAAAGAGCAAGACTTGGGGTGTGTGGAGGTGGGTATACTGGACTAGAACATCTTACAGTGCCTAACACCATAACAGATAGGATCATGGATATGTTTGATACAGTCTGCAAAAAACAAAAACATAAATAAATAAATATCCAATACAAAAATTTAACTTTTATGTGGCTGCCATATATTTAAGGAGCTGTCACATATTCTGATTTTACTAATGTTGCTTACTGAAACAGGACGTCTGCATTGAAGCTTGCTGAATTTTCTGTTTTTAGGTTGAGTTGTTCTTTCCTAAAAGATTTCTCGGATTTGACAGTGCCATCGCCCAACTGGTTCTTGGTCTTCCATGTGCTAATCCCCCCAGATTCCACTAACAGTGTTTATTTAATAATACTTGTATCAATATTTTTGATATGACAGATTATTCTGTTGGCAGTGTTAAATATAGGATGAAATGAATGCTTTTATTTGGTTCTCTTAGATGAATACACCACCGCTGGTTTCCACGGTCAGGCTTTTTTTGTGTGTGTGTTTGTCGTTTTTCGAAGCATTCTATCGCATTTGTCCTAAAGTCAAATGAACCCAGCTCAGTCTGTTTGAGATAATCTGGTTACACGTTTAGATCAAAACAATAACCTTTACGTCACAGGGGGTATGTGTCTATTTGAAAACATATTTGTAAATTCCCGTCGCCGTTTTTCTGTTATATGGGTTCTTTTACCCCAGTAATATTTACGATAAACTACATTTAGCGATGCAATGTTTAGAGAGTTATGAAAAACAAAGCGACTGAATACATTAGTGTTGATTTGCGACAGACCCCCCTCAGCAAGCACATAATGCTGCAGTCCAAGGCGCGCTAAGCGATTTGGCGCTAGTGTGTGTCCGGTGTTCTGTAATCAGCTGCTGCAGCGCAGACACTTTCCACTTTGAGCTTCTGGCTGTTTTTGAATCATACAGTGCCGTGACCTTCATGGCCAGTCATGTCTGAAGAAGAGATCAAGGTTTCCGATGAGCTTTTCAAAGATGTCAAATTCTACGTGGTTGGGGATATTGACCAAAAGGTGAGATTCTGGACGTTAGCAGCTTTAGCCAAGTTGGTAGCCTGTGCTAACTAGCTAAAGTCATTGACTCTAAAGCAGGTGATGCAAGAGAAGCTAAGTAGTAGCTAAGTATTCGAGCTGTCTTTAGCTAACCTCTGTCAGGCCACGTAACGGTGCTTGAGACTTTCAAGTGACGCTCGCTCACTGAATAATTTGTGCAGAAGCTCCTTCAAACTGCACTTTCACGCAGCCCTTTAGCACTAGCTGCGAGTTTTGCATGTTAGCTGCTAGCTCCTAGCTTGCGGTTTGTGAGGCTAAGGCTTGCTGCTGCCGCTTGTTAGCATTATTTTTCTAAACGATTAGCCTCAGTAATATTGCTTGGAACTTCTGATAAGCAGTGAAACGCTGCACTGCCGGTGTATTGTGTTACTTTTCATCAACCTATGACTGTCAGCATCTTGCTCAGTTATTCGCATGTGTCCACAATTCCACTCGTTGGTACTGAACACCTGTGGTAAAGAGCTGTCCTTCTTGTCAAATGGCACTATCCAGACGCTTTGAGTCTGCACCGAGAACAAACAATACAATTATCATTTACAGTCTTCTCGTGGATTGATGTCTTATTGGGATTGCTCCAAGCTAAACCTCACATTCTAAAAGCTGGTGGGTCGTGTTGAAGTCTGGCTGCGGTTAAAGGCTCAGTTACACTTATTCGGAGCAGAGAGGTGTGGTGGACAGTGCCGTGTCTTCCTTTAGAATGCAGTCGTGCACGGTGGGAGAGATGAAAAATGGATCCAAAAAAAGTATTTCAGTTTTTGTTATATCAGTCACTGAAAAAATGACAGTAACCAGCTCCGTCTTTGTCTGTTAAGGCACACAGGTAATAATTGTAATATTATTATCAAACATGCTGTTATTAACACTAGATTTGGGTGGAGCACAGGGCTTCTCATCTTTTTCATCTCTTAAATGATCAGTTGTTAGTGCTTCATGCAGTCCAGGTTAAGGGATGTGACAGGCCAATTTTCAGCCAGTGAGAAGGGGCTTTAATGGCGGTTTAGTCTTGAACATTGCATTGAACAATTATATTTTTGTACACATTTACAGTCACGATAATATGCTGACATTTACACCATAAACCAGCAAGGTTTTTGGTCTGCCAGCAACAGATCTGACACTGCTGTCTCTTAAGGGATCATGTCCTGATCAGAATGTGTGGAAATGGTTCCAGTGATAAAAATAGGCATCAAGATATAAATGAAATGTCTCAAATCTTTGATGCAAAGTTTAATTGAAGCATTACAGCCTTTGAAATCCACTAGTCATAATTTTGTTTGTCAGGGATGGGCCTTCTCAGATAAGTGCTCACACTGCCAGATAGTTGCCACAAGCGTCAGCTTAAACAATGCTCCTTTGCCAGTAAGACTTCCTCATTAAAATGTTGGAGGTTGCCCTGAATCGGTGCCTGGGTGAAGGTAGTTTGAAGTTGTCTCTCAGACTCTGTGCTCCTCCTCCTCCAAAGAATGATGACTTTGGAGGAGTTCAGTTCAGTTTTCATAACGTGGACATTGTCCAAAGTTGGTGTGGATAGACTTTAAGGTCTTGGACTTAGCTGGCAGTACTTGTTCTGCTAAGCAACAAAGGTGAGCTACAATAAAACCAAGTGTCCACTTAGTCTCTTTGCAGTCAGAGATGTAGGAGTTTCCACCTGTCTGACTGAGAGTGAGCTGAGACTGCTGACTGACACTGAGGAAGCCAACAACAGCAGCCTGCCTTCAGAGAAACACTAGATCAAAGCTCTCTGGTTAGCAGCAACTGAGCTTTCATAATCACTGATATTCTCACATGGATGATAAAGAAATCACAAAATATACTTGCACAAGACTTTAGTTGGAAACACTGTGCTCAGAGCATCTACAGTTTATTAAGAATGTCAGTATTTGTATTTATCCACACTTATCCTTCTGACCTATTTAGTTCAAAATAACTTTGTGAACTTGTGGCTCCCACAGCGTCTGTGTTAGTTAAATTGATGTAACTGGAATTCTCTGCTCGTACTCCAGGTGGTGCAGCTGCTAAAAGCAGGAAAAGCAAAGGAGGTGTCCTACAATGCTCTGGCCACTCACATCATTGCAGAGGATGGGGACAACCCTGAGGTGGGCGAGTCAAGAGAGGTTTTTGACCTTCCTGTTGTCAAGGTAAGGGTTGTGTTACAACATACTCACTACTCCAAGTTTTTCTGTTTCTCACTTGATTCTGTAACAGCATAACTTTTGAGACAGCTCTAGCTCCTCTGCCATAAAGTTGTCATACAGCAGTATTTTTTCTGCCTGATCATTTATGCATTCTGGTTGAATCTGTACCAGCAGCTTACAGACACGCTGTCAGCCTTTGACTTACAGTTCTGCTCATGTTTTTCAGCCATCCTGGGTCATTCTGTCGGTCCGATGTGGAGACCTGTTACCGTATCCTTCCACTGTCCAGACCAGCGCAGCTCAGACTGCTGTTTGCCAATACATAAATCTATATTAATTCATTGATTGGTACTGAAGGGTAATAACTAGACCTATGAAAAACAAAAACAGTTCACATCAATGTGAGCATCAGCTAATGGTCAAATCCTTTTTTTAAACCTCAGTCTGTTCCTACAGACTGATGTAACCACGTTGGTAATAACAAATTGTCAAATAACAGTGGCTTCTCCCTTTCTTACTTTTTCCATAACCAAGAACGCCACAGAGTTACTGGCTTCTCGCCAGAATCGGGGCAGATATTCTTTGGTGTCACAGCTTGTCTTCCCAGAGTAAGTGTGTGTGTGTGTGTGAGTGTGTGAGAGGGCTTACTATCAGGTGTGTGTGTTTGGTGTTATTGCACTCTGAAAAATGTGAAGCTTGTTTGTTGTGTTTGTACGCAGCTTCCTGATGATCTCAATGCTCTGTGGGCTTACATAACCTTTTATGGAGGAGAATGCCAGCTTAACCTAAACAAGAAGGTCACTCATTTAATATTGAAGGAACCTAAAGGGGTGAGTGTGCGCTCCATGGAGCTGAGTCTAAACTAGCTTTTTGCCACAGTTCATTCTTTGCCATCGGTGCTGATACAGTGTTAGCGGCTACTTTCTTCTTGGCACAAAGTCATATCAGACTTTTTCATAGGTTCACTTATTTATTTTCACTACAGATGGTGTTTGATTGCATATACATATATATATTTGTCTCCAGGCTAAATTTGAGTGTGCCCTGAAGCACTCCGGCATCAAGATTGTCACCCCTGACTGGATCACAGATTCTGTTAAAGGTAACATCAGTGCAGGCAGTCTAATGATGCGTTTTATCAAGTTGTTGTTCTCTTAAAGGCAAGTTGTTAATTATCAGCTTCTTGAAACTGTATTTTTCTGTTTAACATTGTATGTTCAACTGAATATCTTTGGTTTTGGACTAAATTACTGAGAAACGGGCATTTTCACTATTTTTGTTGCAAAAAGAAAGTGTATGCCTGTATCAGTTAATTTTCCTTATTCAACTTTAATAATGTATAAATTCTGACCAATAATGGAGCTGCTAGTAATCATTGTCAGACAGAAGATCTGTAATAACCTGTCCCTCTCTTCACCATTTAAAGATAAAGCCAGGAAGGAGGAGGCACTCTATCACCCCAGACTCACATATGTGGAGCCAGAGGAAGAGGAGGAGAGTGAAGCAGAGTCATACAACCGTCATTCTGATGGAAGCTACAGCCCCCAGCGATCCCGGCTGTCCAGTGGTGGCTCATCAGATGAGGAGTCCAGCCCCCGCAGACGACCGGGACCCAAAAGACTGAATTCTGTCTCCCCGACCTCTCCACGCAAACCCGAGCGCCGCAGCGAACGGATGTTTGATGATTCAGACGACGACTCTTCCACAGAGAAGGAGGGCACCAACCTCAACTGGACGCCGGCTGAGGTGGTCACCCCAGCTCCTCCTATTACAACCGGTACAGCCAGGCGTCGGAGTGGGCCACCCGGCATCAAAGACCCAGTGTCGTCCACAGGCAGTGGGCTGATCAACCTATGTGCGAATGTGCCTCCTGTGCCCGGTAGTGGCGGTGCCGTGCCTGCAGAGGCTCGCTCCGCTGCTGCCGCCATCGCTCACTCCGCACAGCAAGGTAGGTTTTTAAAAGCTTCGTTTGCTGCTCAGGCCTGCATTAGATTCTCTTGCACACTGTGTGTTGAGAAATGTCAGATAGTATGGGAAGTATTTGTGGAAACAAAAATGAATGCAACACTGTTAAGCCACTATAATGCATCATGTGCGCAACAGAGAGAGCATTGGATTTGTGCCAACATAAACAGCTGTAAAGTGAGAGACCACTGGCTCATATAAATCAGGTTAATTCAGTTTCACTTGTAACACCAAATCACAACAACAGTCTCGTCAAGGCAGCGATTAATGATTTGGGCCTAAAGATTTGCTTTGTGGCGACCTGGTAACCAGCAGTCACAGGGAAAACCAGTCCTCCCTGACAAGTCAGTTAGTGGTGGTTAGAAGCTGGTGGCAGCCGCTATGGAATCGATTCCTAAAACTCCATTCCGTCAGGGATTCCTGGCAACCACACGTTGATGGGGAAAAGTGCGTATTCTGTGAACGGGTGTTGCCAATCATTAGCAGGAAATTGTTTGCAGAGAGGTGTATACGGTGCTGCCCAAAGCACTGCATATTCAGTTGTTTCACTGAGAATGGGTCCTATAAATGAGTGCAGTTTAAAGTGTAAGAATTTCTTTTATTATGACAATAATGTTTTGCATTGAAGAAAAGTTGCGTTTTTTGTTTGTTTGTAAATGGACTGGTTCTTATGTATCACTTTTCTACTTTACTTGAGCACTCAAAATACTCACGCCACTTGCCTCATTCACCCATTCACACAAGAACCTTTTCTACGATTTTACCATCTCAGCGCTTTCTATCATCTATCTTACGTCCTGAGCTACAAAAAGCCCAAGCTTACTGCACCTGGTATTCCCAGGCAGTCTCCCATCCAAGTACTAGGAGATTCAGCAGGTCACCCTTGGAAAGAAATTGCAAGTCGGAATTAGCCAAGAAAACTGCGGTCGGTCACTGAGCATTTCTCTAAATAAAACTTAGACATATATGTCTGAAAACATAGAAAATTCGCTGATGCTGAGGTGAGTATAGTGAGCTCACAGGACTTAGTGCGCTGGGAGAGCAGCCAGCAGAGCCAAACTCAGTGTTGTTTAGATTTTGTTTACATGTACGTTCTCTCTCACACACACACACACTCTCTCTCTCTTTCCAGTCTACTCTTCAGTTCTGCACTGTCCAATAAAAGTGAAAAATGCCCAGGACATTCTAATGATGTTTTTCTTTGAGCACAATGTATTAAATTGTATGATTTCTGTTTTGTTACTCCTGATGCAATATGATGAAGATGCTACTTCTCTCGCCTCTTCAGGTGTATCTGTTCCAGAGAGCATGTCAGGGTGGAGCCCGGCTGTTAGAACGCTCCGCAACATCACCAACAACTCCGACATGCAGCCTGCCAATCGAGCAGCCAGCGTTCATGTAAGAAACACAGCCTGCTTCCACTGAGCATCAGCACTTCTCACATTGGCTAGAAAGGAAACAATGCTAAAGGAGTGTGCTTTGAGTGGTTATTTGTTTTCTGTGTTTATTGGTTCTGTTTCACATTTTCAATCATTACTTTTGCACTGCGACAGTGACACACATGCTGTTGAAGAAAGTAAGAGAGCGGGCAGTAGCTATTACAGACAGGGCCGTGAACCTTAAGAGTTGTACAGTTGTTAGAACAGCATAGATGGAATATTTGGATAGTACTGCAAAGTGGGAGCACAGGGTGCGTAGAAGATTTCATTGAGATATTCACTGTGTCTTGGGTGGTGAGTTATGCTGAGTCGATGGATGCTCCATGAGACTGCACACGTCAACTCACATTTGAATCTCAATCGTGATGTGACTTCCCACGGTTAATCTGATCAACCGATACAAAAAAATGAATGTTCTATCAAATAGAATGAGAAGCAAATCTAGCACTCCCTAAATCCCAACAACACAGCTGCATATAGCATATCCAGTCACAGCTGTTCCTGCCCGCGTAGCTCGAAGTTTGCTGGATGTAGTCCGAATGAGTAGCACTATATTAAAATACAGACGGAAACAAAAATCAGAAGAAGAGCCTGTGTGTCTTCTAATCGACATGCACATTAGGTTAACGGGGGTTCTAAGCTGGCTGTAGGCATTTTTACTAGTGGCCAATACGGGTAACACACTTCTGACCAAATTCTGTATGTATAAGTTCAACTTGGCTTCCAAATCCAATTGTTCTCAACTTGTCTGGCTTCAGGACGCACCACCATCACCTCTTAACGATAAGCCGTGACCCAAATTTTCAGATTCTGAAATTTGGTGAATGAAAATATTGTGCGGTTTGAATCTGAGATGGTAGATCATAATATCACAGTATGACAATACAAAAAAACACACTTTTGGGTTGCAACCCACCCGTTGAGAATCACTGGTGTAGAAGTCAGTGGAAAGGCAGCTTCTTCTATGTGCCCCGCAATCACCTTATGATCCAATAAAGACTTCAGGTCTTGAATGGGCAGAACAGTTGGGAGCATGCAGTGTTAAAAAACATTAAAAAAATCAAGCATGAAGCGCACAGTTAGGCTGCAGTGACAAATTTCTTTTCTTTTTTCTAACATTCAGTTTCACTTCTACTCTTTGGATTTTCACTGTTCTTTGTGGCTGGCTGACAGACTAACTACAGCGCAAGCAAGAGTTGTCCACAGACTGGAATGCATGTATTGTACACTGCCTCCAACAACAGCAGAGCTCTCTGCAGACAGATGGGCTGACTGCAGCAGAGCAGACTATAAACTCAACCTCTGCTGGACTATAAATCCCGCTTTATTAGTTTTTCATTCAGATCTTCAGCTGCACTTGTAATATTTGGTTTGAAATATGTTACGGTGACATAAGGCTTACATACCATTGGGACATGGTGACCAAGTCTTTTTATGTAGAGGCTGTAATCATGTCATGTACATGTATAAATAGTTATGTTCAGTGATGGGAATAACCCCATTACTTTTTTCAGTAACGAGTAATCTAACTAATTACTATTTCTATCGTTACAACGCCGTTACCGTTACTAACAAGAAAATGCGGTCGCGTTACTGTTTTTCAACGGACAGTTGAAGCTGTGTTCAGCTTACCGCACCTTATATCAGTTGCACGGAAGTAGCTGTAAGTAATCTGGGCGCTACAGCTTTAAAGCAGCTGCGCGCTCCTGCCGGAACCAGCTTTTTCAGCTGTTTTTCAGCAAAAACCTCTTTTCAGCAGAATTCTCTCATTCACTCTTTTCTGCCCAAATTCTCCTGATTCACCTCTTTTCTGCAAAATTTTCAGCCTTTCTACCTCTTATCAGCACAATTCTCAGCAGCTTCTGCTCATTTCAGCACAATTGTCAATCTCTCAAACCTCTTCTTTGTGAGAATGAGTTTGGCTCAGTGAGCTAAATACCTGCCCTTAGACCAGAAGGGCCAGGTTCAAATCCTGCTCTGCTTTTTTTTTTTTTTTTTTTTTTTGTTTCAACTTTTTCAGCTTTTTTCAGCAGACATCTTCAGCGTTAAGGCATCCACACAGCATTTTCGCAGGAAATGCAAATTTTTCTAGTTTAAAAATGTTATTGTTTGGCTTTTTTCAGTGTTTTATTTGTTCCTGAGTAAATGGTTTGGCTGAGATTAAAGTTATAGTTTTTACACAGCTGAATAAACGTCAAGCAGACAGCTGATTATCAGAAGTGTGAGATGCTCCAGAATTTACTCCGGTGTCCTGTTATATTTTAGATAGCAAGGAGTTTATTAAACTTCACCGAAACAATCTGCAAATTTCATTAAAATTTAATAAACTATCATCTTGTCTTTATTTTTAGTTAGCACAGACCTTAAACACTTAAAGCTGTAAGCTAATGAT